CTGACCTGAACACTGGGCTAAATCTTTTCCCTGTAGACTCTTAAACCATTTCATTTCTAATGCTCTGGTTGTCTGTGCATCACTTTCCCATGCAGGGAGTATAAAGGCAGAGCTGAGCTTGGCCCTGGCCAGACCTCCCAGGTACCTCTCTTGCTGGGAATAGAGAGCCTTTACTGCCGAGGTCCAGGTTCCTTGCAGTGGCCTGCGAGCTCAGTGAACCTGAACAGTCCAAGCGAAACCCAAGCAAAGCCACACAGTTTGAAACACTCTTGGAATAAAATCCCCTCCGTGGTGTCAGCTTGGTGCTCAGAGGGAGAGGCAGAACACGGCAAACTTGGCTCTGTTTTACCCCAAGATTTCAGGAAACTCCTTGCAGCGAGGCCAAGAGCTACGTTCATAACAAAACTTAAACCCAAGCAAAATTTATCACGTTTTGAGTTTCTTCATGAAAGGTTAGACCAAGTTGGGATGTACTCTGCTGGGATAAAAGAAGAGATGGGGTCTGGCCTTAAGGGCCGATTTCATATCCACTGAAATCACATGCAAAACTCCCAGGGAAGCAAGCTTAAACTTTTAAATACTGCTACAAAAGCAGCTACCACCGTTCTCTGTCATTCTAGTTAACCATCTATAAACAGTTACTCACTTGACCTCTATTTGATCTCTCCCTCTGCCCTCCAAGGAATCTTTCAGGGCCAACATACATTATGGATATCTCTGTGTATATGAATGTTGGAGGCTATTTTACTACTATGATAACAGATCTCTTGCAATTGTATCTGAAATCTGGTTGTTTGGGGAAATTGTTTTTTCTTTCTACAGACAAATCCAACAAGTGACTTCTGTTAGTTTATACTGGTCTGCTGAAAATATTTAATTACTGTAGGTCCTGTTTGCCACAGAACCTTTGTAAAGGATGATTTTGGAACCCTGCCATGGCAATAAGGAGGGAAAATAGTCTTAACACTTGAAACAAGAAGGTCAAAGGCAGGAGTCAAGAAAGATCTTCAAGCCATACTACAGTTGTCCTTTTCTAGCTGCTGCTTGAATGTGCAGCAAGATGACAAAGTCTTCAAGCTTTCACCTGATTAATAGTCTTGGGGGAAAAACATTCTCTAGGAATGTTGGAAGAGTAAGACTGCTATTTAAAAAAAAAGAATTCTTAAGCAAAACAAAAATGACAGTAAGATGGAAGTAAGTTAAGGTCATGTAGTAACTTAAGGAAGAATTTTATATGGATGCCTTCATTTTGCTGGGTTGGTTTTTTGGTTTTGATTGGTTTCTTTCTTTAAACATGATAGAATTTCAGAGTTAAGCATATTAAGTATATATATAAGTTATTTATATTATGAAATAATAAAAATACGTAAAAATATTGAAGCACTTAAAATCTCCAAGTACTCCTAACTCTGCGCACTAAGGATAGAATGCAGCAGCTAATATAAGTTTTAACATTTTATCATCTTTCATTTCCTTCCTGTCACAGTATCATGCTATAAGGAAATAAGCTATATAAACATGCTTTAAAAAACATAATCTTGAGGAAAAAAAAAAAAAAAAGACCTGCATCTAGAGATGATACTAAACTGCTGCAGTCATTATTGTTTGGGCTAGTAGATGCCCAGACAGAGAGATAAGGTCAATGCAGTCCAACAACCTAATAAATACAGATGTCTACATGTAATTTTTCTTAGCTTTAGAACCCATGGTAATGTAATGTATTTTACTTAAAATTGTTAAGATGCATTGTTTATTTAAGTGTTTTTCCACTTAAATATGGATTCTTTGTGAATGCTATGGTCGTCCAAAAAAGCGGCGCATTTAGTTACAGATAATAAATCCAGGAAACTTTAAGGAAGATCTCAGTGAAACAGCATTAATGAGAACAAGGTGAAAACAAGGTTACTAATTTCCAACCTAAGGACATTCCATTTAATTCTTGACTCACACAAAATTTTCTTAATAATAATTTGTGCTGGCCAGAAATGGCTTGTTTTAGACATAATCTATGGGAATTTAAAACAGCTTCAGATAATAATGATTTCATTGCTGTGTTATGCCAGTCTAAAATTCTAAGTAACAGAAATGTTGCCATCTCCTCATTTAAGAGGAAATGTAACTTGATACAAACACACTAAAAATTTGGAATATTTTATTATTAAAAAAGGCTGTCTCAAGCTGTGTTGAAGTCAACAGTAGGTCTATTTAAGGTTTCTGAATTCATCCTTTCTTTGTTAGCATTCAGATAAAAGATTGAATTTACTGGCTATTAAGGAGTTCTGGCTGCAGCTGGTTGGGGGGAGAAGGGGGAGAGGGAGATATTCAGCCATCCAGATCATCAAGGGATGTAGGCTGGATTTTTTTGAGCATTCAGATAAACACTGGTCAATTCTGTGGGAGTTAACATAAAATTGAAACGAAATTTTCAAGGAACTTAACACTTGCAAGTCATTTGACTTTGCTTTTAAATGTTCAATTCGTTCAGATCTCTCTGAGATCCTGGTTCTAGTTTGGGGCTGGGGGGAGTAAACCACGAGACTCCCATTGAGAGGGGGTTTTCGTGTTTTGTATTGTTCTGCTACTTCATGATGCTTAAATCTTAAGCTTACTGTTGTTGTGTCGTGGGCAGCAGTTCGTGCTTGACGGGAAGTAAAACCAAAAATCCTCGAGCCCGAAAATGGCTCGGAGCTCATTCAGATGAGCTCGGTTGTTGCCTGGAGATCTCTTCTTCACCCAGGGGCAGGATGAGAGGCGTGAGGCTGCGGAGGCAGCCCCGGTGCAGGGCTGTGGGGCTCTGCGGGCTCGGCTGCGCTCCCAGCCAGCACCTCCCCTCCGTCCTGTGCTGCTCCGGGAAATCTTCCTGCCCCACCACCCCGCAGCCCGCCCCGGTGCCCGCTCTGATGCGGGGCGGCCGCGGCTCGCCCGGCACCCTCGGAGCGGGGGCTCAGCACGGCGGGGTGGCCTCTCCGCCAAGCTCCCGGGGACTTTACCGAGTACCTGAACCCCCCTGCCCTGCCCGGGGATCCCCTTCCCGGGCTGTGGAGGGACGGTGCCGGCTGCGGCATCCCGCTCTCCTGTTCCCTTCTCCTCCGGACACTTGATCTCCCATGCGGGGGCGAGCATGGCGGGGAGGACAGACGAGCATCCTCCTGCCTTGCTGCTGCTTCACTCACCTGACCCGAGGTGTAGAGGGAGCCCTTTCATCTGCGTGCTGTGACTCTTCGACTCGGCTCCGAAGTCTGCCCAGACATTTCCTAGAGCCCAACTGGTTCTCACCTTCAGTCTGCACGTCTCGGGATGCCGAGGGGAAGACTGCTACAAAGATTTGGCTCTGATTTCATTCCACATTTATCCAGGCTCTTTGATTAGATCCTTGCGAGGTTTGTCTCTGTGGAAATAGAAACAGCAAAGACACGCTATTGCTTTAAGTGTTATTACTGTAAGTAATTGTGACTCTAAGTGTGGTGTGGATATAACAGTGTCTCTGCTAAGTGCAGTGGGGATGTCTTCGTGTGCCAGTGGGAGCACCGGGGGTTCAGCAGCACTCCTAGCAGTGTTTGCAATTGCGATGAGCTTCTTCCATCCCTGCACAGTGTCACAGCTGTCACAGCAGCAGTAGCCAGGCTCACAGCGCTGGTTACAATTATTGGTCCTTTCAGAGCATCAGGTTTGTGCACTACTGTGCTACCTCACCTAAAAGAAAGGAGGGGATCTGGGAGGAAGATTAGCCTAAACAAAATCAGTTGGTAAGAAGCTGGTAAGAATCCCTTTGGTAAGGAGGGACAAAGAAATACAAATAACTAGATTTAGGGAGTTGGATGTGTGTCTTTGTCAGGTAGGGATCTGTTCATCACCAAGCATCACTGCAAGCATTTCTCCTGGCTTTCAGAAACAATCTTTTCTCAGTGAAACAGCCACAGGTTAGCAAGGTGCAGTGTTTGGACTCCTGTGTCCAGCCTCGTGGGCTGTGGCTGAGAGAATTAGCAGTTGCCCAGGGTACAAGACAACCATGCTAGTGCTTTTGGTGTCATCGTGAACCTGTCCTTTAAACAGCTCCACACAAGGATTAGCTGTACCCACTCAGCCCCACACTGGCCCAGCCTGTTTTAAATGCAGATGAGGAGTCCAAAGTCAATCAAAGCTTTGATTTTAAGTTTTTATTGGCAACAAACAGAGCCCTGTGGGCTTGGGCTGCAGACATGGAGGACATGCTTAAGTCGATTACACTTGACAATACTGTAATAGCTGAGTGCAAGTGACACCCCTAGGCCTCTGAGCTCTGCAGGCCTACCAGGGCTTTCAGCAGAGGTGCCAGGGAGCCCAGTGGCATCTGCAATACAAAGGAAGTGGAATGTTGGCAGCAAATGCACTACTAGGTTGACTTAATACAGGGAAGAGGTGGTGTTTAGGGCCAAACACGCAGAGGCAAAAAATGAAAGCCTCTCTCTCTCTCTTGTCTTTTTTCCCCTCAAACGCCCACATAAAATTCTGGGAAGATGCTTTGTATAAGGCGCTGTACATGATGCCCAGGGCACCGGTGTAAATCTAGATTCGCGCCCATGAAAGTGAAGGGGAAGTTCTGTTCTCTCCCTCTCATAGGTGTGAACACATCAGGGATGCGTCTCCCACCGCTATCCCGGTTCCAGCAGCTCTGGTTCAGGAGCCGGCGAGCCGGGGTGGGACAGCTTGGTGAGGAAACAACTTTCTTCCCCTGGCTGGGGCTGGATGGGGTGGTGATGGCGATGCCGGTCACCGGCGGTGCCGCGGGGGGCCCGGAGCGCGGAGCTGGGGCACAGGCGCTGTGCCTGGGGGAGGCCGCCGGGCTGACAGAGCGAAGCGAGGAGCCCTCGCTTTTTTGGTTCCTTTCCAACCATTTTTAGCAGAGGAAGGATGTAATAACATGCCACGGGCAATAAATCACAGTCTAGCTACTCCCCCTGGCTCTCCTCCCCCCGCCCCCGGCCCTGTATAGCGGGAGGGGCGGAGGGGCCGGCAGCAGAGCGCCGCGGCCGCCGGGACGAGCAGAGCAGAGCAGCGCCCGCCCGCCTCCTCCAGCCGCCGCAGCAGCATGGACCTCCGCGCCCTGGCGCTGCTCGCCTTCGCCCTGGCCGTCATCTCCCTCTCGGAGGGTAAGTGAGCTGCGGGGCTGTGCCGCTCCTGCCGGCAGCGGTGGTCCCGCGGAAATCCCCGCTCGGGCTCCGGCCGCGGCTCAGATGCGTCTGGAGAGCCAGAGCGATGGCTGTGCTGAGCTGGAAGTAGGCAGGATCCCATTCCTCCCTCTCCTCCATCCCATCCTGGCTTTTTTTCAAAAAGCTGGCCAAAGCGGTCCTCTGTGCCAAACTCGCGCCAGATTGAAGTCGTCTGGGGGAAGACTTTGAACAGCGCTCGGTCTGCAGGGAGGTGGTTGGGCTGAAAATATGCATATCGACTTTCCCCTCTAACAAAAAACCCCAACGCTAAAAGTTACAAGAAATTCGAAACAGGCGGTTGTTCGGTTCCTCTCTGTCCTGTGTCGTGATCTATCTTTCCTCGGTCGGGGCAGAGCCGGTGACAGCGGTGACTGGGCAGGCGCTTAGCGCAGCCCCGGCGCGGTGCACGGGGAGATTCGGGGCCGCAGGGATGCAGGGACGGGAGCTCTGGGGCATGGCGGGCTGGCTCCGTCCCGCAGCCCGCTGCCAGCTGCAGCTGCCCAGCTTACTTTGCCAGCTGTGCTCTGTGGAAGCCTCCGCCTTCGGACAGCCCCGGGCACAGCGGCAACCCGCGCTTTTTGCCCCTCATCCCGCAGGGAATCCTGTGCCCCCGGGCCCGGGAGTGCGGCGAGGGCTTTGCCCGCAACCTCTGGGCATCCTCCGAATGCTCCTTGTGCGGCTTGTTCTCACCTGGCAGAGACTTGCCGTCTCTTGCCCCTCCTCGAAAGCTCTCTGTTTGGGTAAGGAGCGCCTTCTCAAAGCGCCGCTCCCGTCCTGTTCTCCCATTCTGGCGAAAGAAATTTAGATGTTCCCCACCCAGCGAGGCAGAGGATGCCCTCCGGTTCCCTCGTTGTTTAGCCTGAGAGAGTTAATTTTCCCCGAAGATTTCCGCGATGCCTTTGGGCACAGCAGCCCCTTCCCGCTGGAGCACGGAGCCGGCACTGCCCCGGAGAGGCTCCAGAGTCCCGGGCAGGTGGGCTCCGGGCCCGGCCTCGTTCGCCCTATCCACCACCCCGGGGCTGCGGGCTGCGAAGCGAGAGCGGCAGGTAGCGACAGCAGAGCCGGGACCACGGGGGGCAGTGCCAGCTCCAGCCCCTGGCCGCCAGCATCACCAGCATCACCAGCATCACCAGCATCACCAGCTCCCGAGCGGCTGGGGCCGCCGCTGCCGGGGTACCTGAGCGGGCTTCCCACGTCTCGGCAGGTCTGGAGGCGCGGGAGGGAGGCACCGGGGCCCAGGGGCTCTCCTCCCCTTTCCTCCCTCTGGCAGCACTTTGCTCAGGGCTGGGAGGCCGGCGGAGCTGCTCGGTTCACCCCCAGCGCGGCTGCTCTCCTTTGCTGGCAGTGGGTGTCTTATGTCGGGATAAGCGTGTGGGGACCCCGCTAGAGGAAGGAAATGGCTCACAAGGGCTGGAGAGAAACCACTGTGAGGAAAGTGACCCCACCGTCGTGCAGTGTTAAGAGTGGAGGTTTTTGCCTACTTGGTACATCATGCGGTGCTCTCAGCCCTGATCCAGATGTGAGGGCTCAAAGGGCTGCCTTGTGCTGGGGGGCAGGTGAGCTCTGAATTCTTCTTAGTTACCTGGTAAAGCTGTGTCTGTCTATCCCAGCCTCACTTTCCAGGGAAGTTGAACTGTTCTACACTTAAAAATTATCAACTATCTCCTGATAATGACAAATGCACTCAAGGCTGAACAGAAGTAAAATGATGCTTCCATCAAAAGTTTTGTCTGTTCATGTCCAGCCTGAGTGCCTGGATATAGCTTCCCTCTCTATTCAAGCATCCAGAGCTTCCTCATCCACACAGTAAGTTACTGATAACTTTGCAGCAGAACTGCCAGCTCACTTCTTCCCTTACTCTCCAATTCCAGTGTGGGTAAAGAGAAGCAGATCTCTATGGGATTAAATAGGTATTTTCCAGCACTGACAAGTGGCCACACAGAGTATTTTGTGTATGCTTTGCCTCTAGAGAGAATTTGTCAGCAAAAGTAGGTGTTCAGAGCCAACAAAACTCAGGTTGAGTTAGAGAATAAAGCTGTTTATTATTAAAAAAATTCCAAAACACAAAACCCCCAGACCCCTTCAAACTCTTCTAGTCAAGGCCAACAGAGATGTTCCCTTTATGTCTAAGTAAAATTAGTCTGAAGAAATGGAATTGAGGTGTCAAACTAGCATCTCGCTGTTCTGTAACTCTTGATTCTATTCGTCCATTTTAACCAAATGTGCCAGATAAAGGCCTCCAAAGCTTTGTGTGCCATCAGTTATATGTTTTCATGTAATAAGGCAATTAAGAGATTATACTAATTTGCTGTACTGAGGGATTGGCTTCAGCTTGTGCACAGCGTTGGATAGACATCAGAGAACTCACAGTACAAATTGGTAGATTAATTAGTCAGCTTAATCAGTTCTAATGTAAGTGCGACAATATGTTTCAAATTTTGAAAGGAGATAAGGAATGTGTTTGTCAGCCTCAGAGTAAGACCAGAAATGTTCTCTCCTAAATTACGGACTCCGAAGAGCCCCTTCCCCCTCCTACCTTTGGAAGGTGGGGGTTCATGTGTTGGGAGATGCCACATGCACCAGTTTTCCCTGGTTTTCAGCCTGTTGAGACAAAGGCAGCAGCAGGAGTTACTGATTCCCTGTTGGTGATACAGAGCTGACCCAGTGGGTGCCTGTGCTGCCTCTCCTGGTGCTCAGCGCCTGCTCCTGATCACCGAGAAAGGCACACAGAAATACCAAAGGGATTCTTGTGCTCGGAGGGGATTTGTCATCCCACCTTGCACTGGGGTGACAGAACACTGAACACTGGGGCGTCCCCTCTTCCTTGCTGTGCTAGATGTCTTTTCTTGGGCAAGAAACAATTTAGGGACTTACAGACATGTTTAGTCATGGTTATACTTTCTCTGCGTCTGATTTGAAGCGGTATGGGATTGAAAATCCCACCCCGAGTCTGAGAGAGGACAGGATTGCATTATCAAATCATGGATCTGAACAGTTCATCTCTTGCACATTGTTTAAGTTAAAACTGGCTTAAACTCGGTTGGGACAAGCTTGCAGAGACACTATCACTGCAGCTGTGCTGAGAGTTGTTGTATGACTGTATTTGGTTTCAGCCTCCCTTTCCAATACAAATTCACAGATGTGTAGCTATCAGGCACAGATTTGCAGTGGGAAATCCTAGTACCTTCCTCACTCCTTTCTATATTAGCACTAGCCAGTCTAACCCATGTTCTCAAGGCTCTCTCTGTAGCCCTCCTTCCTCCTCCCCCTGCAGAATTTTAACTCATAGGTGGAACCACTGTTTGGAGTGTCAGAAAACTGAGAGAAAAGTCCTTAGATTTTTTTCATTTTATAGTCCAGATTCTGGTGTGTCAGGAGAAGCTCTACTCCCACTAATTAGTTCCTCTCCTGTGTGATCTGATTCTGCCTCATCTCTTGATAGAGAGACTGGAAAAAAAGGGGCTTTCCTCCTCAGGACAGCCCAATTTCACCCTGTTTTCTCTGGTGCTAGAGACAGGCATCGAAAACATGCAGTATATGTAGATCCGCTGCACTTGTAGAACCTGTCTCTTTTCTCACCTTCCTAGACAGCTGTTTAGGAATTCCAGTCCCTTCCTTACTCTTATCTCTCCATTTGCCTTTAAAGGGAATCGGGTTTGGATGCTGCAAGTATTCCTGTGTGGCTAAACAAACAGGATGGCAGATTGCCATGTGGGATCTCAAGCCCCGATCAGATATAGATCTGGCCAGCTACAGCATGAGCCAGGTTTTAAGGGTTAGGTGTATGAATTTAATTCCTCCCAGAGGCTGAAAACAGCTCCACTGGGAAATTCTTTAAAGTCTTAGGCATCTCTTAGACTTCAGGCAAGGCTTCTGTGTTTATATTTTATTGTGCATGCAGCTTTCAAACTTGCACTCCGAGTGAAGACTTTACTTACATGCATTTGATAGCCAGTAATTAAGTTGTCCCACAGAGAAATCGGGCTTTGGTGGGCGCCAGGCTGCTTTTCTCAGTCCTGCATGCATATACACAGCAGATTTTTAGCCTAGGGGGTTAAACTTAATTCTGTCCCTAGTGATGGCAGTGACAGAACTCTCATCCAGTCTGGTGGCCCCTGTATAGTGTATTGAGGATGCCCTGGCTGATAGCTCTCTCCTCTATTGCCTTACTTAGCCGCAGGCTAGAAATTCAAAAGACTCCAAGTGTCTTATGTGAAAGCGCCGGGATCTGGCATCTCTGAGCCTCACCCTCTTGTGCGGGTACCTCTGCTGGGAGCCAGGGCTGGCTGCGGTGGGGAAAGGTCAGCTGGGCCCTGGGAACGTCTGCAAAACCAGAGCTTTTCTGTAGCCTCTAAGTCCCCTGTGAAAAGCCTGCACCTGAGCCGAGCCGTTTTGATCTGAACTCCCTGGAATTCATCGCTTTCTTCTGGTTACCTTCTAATTTGGCCTCGGGTCAAAATCGTTTGAGTAGAACAACACCGCGGACAAGTGCCCCCTCTTTTGGCCTTTATCTTGTCTAATTACCAGGAGCATCCTCGCACAATGGAGCGGCTCCTTATTCTAATCTCTTCGATTTTACTTATCTCTATTTTCTCTCCCTCTTCTTTTGTCTTCCAAAATCCCACGCACCCTTATTGAAAGGCTGGGCACTGAGCTGAAGAGATTGTGCTCTGAGCTGTGGGCAAATGCTCTCCCAAAGCTACAGCTTTTCTGCTGTGGTGGGTTTTTTGTCGTTGTTTGGTTGTTTATTTCCACCTGCATGTTTGGAGGGCGTTTCTCTGAGGCCGGATCTGTGTGTCGGTGTCGCTGGCCGGGAGAAGAGCTAATGTGTCCTTTCCCTCCCTCTGTCCCGCAGAGAAACCCGTCAGCCTGACTTACCGATGTCCCTGTCGATTCTACGAGAGCAACGTGGCAAGAGCCAATATTAAGCACCTCAAAATCCTCTCCACACCCAACTGCTCACTTCAGATTGTGTAAGTCTCTTGCTCTTTTCAGCTGGGTGCAGATCTTTGGGTATCAAAAAGAAGGCTCACAGAGCCGGTGCCTGCTCTGATGGTTGAATTTCAGTCTGCCTTGTGCCGGGGCTCCCAATCCATCTCTTCACCCCCGTGTCAGAGACAGCTGGAGCCTGCTTTAGCCAGCATAAAGGAGCCCAGCTGATTGTTTCCCAGCTGTGTTCTCTGTGATCTCCCTATTACTGCGTGATGCCATGTCCTGCTCCCCCGTGGGTATGTGAGCAGGAATGTCAGACTGGCTTCTTGGATGTGGAGCTTCACACCTTGGGGTAAAAACTTCACAGCGCTCTGAGTCTTCTAATGGGTCACTTCTCCATAGAGTGGAGCTAAACGAGCGAAAGGAATTCCTTCATGTGTCCCATGTATCCTCCACAGGAGGTACAGACCCTAGAGGTGTGATGGACTAATCTAGGGATGCTTGCCAGGCAGGGACCGACTCAGCAAATTGCAGCAGAACAGAAAGATCCTTTGCTGGAAAAGCAACCCTCGTTTTCAGGGAACACTGGGATTTTGTTTGTTTGTATGTTTGTAGATTTGTGTGTGCATGTTTTAGGAAGGTCTTTTTTCATTCATTTCTTCATGGGTGACCCCCTCCCAAAATTCAAAACATTCTGAAGGAAAAAATAACAGCATTTATCTTTTACTTGCAAGGGAACCTTACTACTCTCAACTTCTGTTAGGCTCTATAAGAGGGTGTCAGGGACTAGATTTGGTTTCTGTGCAGTGATCCCATTATTGGTTCTTTGACCCATATATTGAGCCCTTCCTCTTGCAACTCAAATGCTGTAAAAATCAATTTTTGTCATCCAAAACATTTTTGCACTCAGAAAACTGATGTGGTTTTGCAATATTGCTCAGGAATGAATGTGAGTGTGCATCCATTCATGAACCAGCTTTTATTAGTATGTTGGGGTTTTTTTCCTATTTTAAACCACTCTGTGTATATCATGCACGATTTATCATGTGCTTCTGCCTTAGGATTTGGTGGAGGACAGTGAGAAAACTGTAAGCCTCAGCTGAGAAATAATTTCCTTTCAGAAAAATGGCAAAACCAGCTGTGACTACCTCCCATCTCTACCTACAAAAAAATTTGGTGGCAAGAATACAATATAGCATGGATTTGTGCTCTGGGACTGTCAGTGATGTTGTAAGAATCCCAGTGCTAAGGCTTTTTAAGGAATTTGGAATTTTCTGGAATAGTTTCAAGAAAATGACAGCATTTAAGACAGGGTAGAGTATATATTTATCTCTTAATTAATGTAGGATTATAGTAATTAGAGATAAATCGGAGCATGAAATGCAGAAATAGAAACATCTCACATTCTTGCCTTGCCCATTCCCGACCCAAATATGTTTGTCTGTGGTACACAGAACATATGAACTTATAGTTCACCTTCTTTTTATTATTTTGACATGCAAGGTACTTAAAATATCTCTCCAAATACCCTTGAAACATAACTTCAGACTAGGCCTTTATCAAAACAGGAGATGAAATTAATCAAAACTAACACATGAATTTCTCATCTTGATTCATTTTAAGCATTAAACAATGTAAATGTAAATAAATTAAAAGCTGCCATTTTCAGGAACAGAGAATCTAAGTGAAGCACAGCTGCTAGAAGATATTTTGTGGGGTTTGTTTTTCTTTGGATTTTGTTTGTTTGTTTTGTTTTTTGCACAAGCATATTTTCCTTATATATTTTGTTATAAAATAGGGGAGTTTTACCTGAACAAAAAGCCTATGAGCAGGCTTGTGTCTTTCATTCTATTGGAAATCATCTCTCCAAATCCAGTGACCTCCTCTGTCAATGTCTACTTCTAAAAGTAGAAAGTCCACACTTTCCTTGCTTCCTTTCCACAAATTCCTTGCTTTTCAGTACAGGGAAATGAGCATTTTTAGCAAGTAGACACCTAAACCAGTCCAGGTTAAACAGTCCATACCATTTCCTATGTCTCCTCCTTGCACAAGGAGCAGGGGATGATAGCTCAGAAATGAATGTCTGAAGAAATCAGTGTCTCAGTATTAGGTGAGAGGTAATATTAGGTGAGAGGAATTGTGTTGAATGTGGCTGGAGACTGGTTACGTGTGCTTTTGCTTCTGTACCCTGTGAGGTCAGCCCAAGATTTCCCAGGCATTGCTAACATCAGCAAATCCATTCTTACACTCTGTTGGTATCACTTAACTGGAAATGCTCCAGCTTGGCACTGCTGTAAGGGAAATATGAATTAGTCCCATTCATCTCTTTTTCTGGCTCAGGGGTGGCAGGACGGATCCTGGATGTGTTTATGTTACAACTGTGTTGTTGCATAACTTCAGACCAAGGAGCCTTTTTGACCTGTTATTTCTTACGCCATCATTTTATATTGTGCAGATTTCATTTTATTAAGGGAGGAACATTATGGCTTCCATCCAGCAAATGTTTAAACAAGTACTGAACTCACTCATATGGGCACTTCCATAAAATTGCTGCTGTCTGCACTTTCCCAAGGCAGGCGGGCTGTTAAGAGGGAAGTTTTGGAGCAGCTGGGGCAGAGGCAGGGTGCTGCAGTGAATGTGGGAGATAACAACTCTTGAGAGGTCCTGAGATCCCTGGAGGGTGAGATCTGTTGATGAAAAGCTATTTGTCCATGAGAGATTCAGATAGCCCAAATGTCAAATTCACAGGGAATTCAAGTTAGCTAAAATGCTAGCTGTGGGAAGTGCAGCTTGGACATCCAGGAGAAACCCCTCAGGAGGTTTCTGCCTTTGTTTCCAATGCTGAGTGAATGCTTGAGGGGAAACTTGCCTCTGGCACTATGATACCTTCAGTTGTCTTCCTCCCTGCAACCTGTTAATTCAGCCTTGTAAAAAACAAAGCACTAGCAAGTGACCACACCCTTTCTTTCAGAACATCCAAGAGGTGTCTGTCCTCAGAACATGTGAAACTTCAGTTTTCTAAAAGCTGTTCTTAATCAATTCCTTACAAAAATTACCTATATTTACCATGTCAGTATTTCCAAATGCTTTTTTTCCATTGTTGGCACTGAACTTACTAACAGCCCAGGTATGAATTGGAAGTCTTAGATTCAAGTTCTGTGTCTGTTCCACTCTCACATGATTCCTAGTACAGACCACAAGAGCCTGTCAGAGGAGAGAGATGGTTTCCAAACCAGGAATATTTATAATAGGCGGGAGAGAGAAATAACCCATCCTGTTCATGGGTTAACCGAGGGCAGCACTGGCACCCAAGGGGAATAAGGCACAGGGGTGGGGAGGTGGGTGTGGGCTGAGGAGCTTTGCACACCAGACTCACTCTGACTTTTCTCCTTTGGCAGTGCAAGGCTCAAGAGCAACAGCAAGCAAGTGTGCATTGATCCCAAGTTAAAGTGGATCCAGGAATATCTGGAGAAAGCTTTAAACAAGTAAGGCAAGAGACAAATGGACTTAACAGCTAACATCCTGAGTTATTAAAGGGTAGAACTTTAAGGGCTGGCTTTTACCACGTGGACAAAATGCTTGTGGAATCAGATATTGTTTCAAAGAAGGGTTTGGAGTTGACCTAATTTGTATTAAAACAACAGTTTCTAATATATCCTAGATGTTAAACTAAGAATTTTGCCAGGGTTTGAGGCAAAAATTATGCTAATGAGTATGTTCTGGGGTCCCAAACTCATCCTCTTTAAAAAAAAAAAGCTGTTCTCCCAAGGAAAATTCTTCCTTTATGCCCTTTCTTCCCCAACCAAACTACAATTACTTCAGAATCTATATTGTTCTGGTGTCTTTGGAGCCCCTTCTCCATGTTACACTGGGTGTCTGTTTGCACAGGCAGCTGAGGCCTAGGGATTCTTGGTGCTAAAAATTGTTTCTCTGCTGCCCAGTGTGGAATGCTGTTAATGTTGGCCAAGGCACGATGAGCTACCATGAATAAGCCTTTCCCACAATTCCAGCCAAACTTGGCTGATGTGGCCTTTTTAAATCTATTTTTTTCCCCTTGAAAATGGTTGAAAATGTCTACTTTGAGGTGGACTCAGCCCATTTCCGTTCAATTTTATGCTGAAAAGAGCAACACTGAGCACCTGCTGAACTGCAGGGGAGGGCTCCAGCCTTCCAGCACTGAAAGATGGTACATACCAAATTATGGTACAAAGCATTTCCTTGCTTGCCCAGAGCCCTGGGCTTTGGTTGATCCAGCAGCAGCATTTTGGCCAGCTCTAGCCTACCTGTGCACTCAGTATCCCTGCCACCCTTGCCATCACGTTCCCACCCCACAGTAACTGCGCTGTAACCCTGCTGAACCTTGTCCCCTCTGCATCTGTAGGGTGAAGGCAGGGCTGGAATCTCATCATTTGCAAAAACAATGTATTATTGGGAAGGTATGGCCCCAGGGCAGATGTGAGGCACAGGTACCTGAATGATCTCCACTGTTTGCTTTGTAAATGCATCTGCCAAACAAGGGGCAGAGTTAAAAAAAGAAAAAAAATTCTTTGTCCTCCTGTGTTTTTACAATAAGCAAGGGGGAAAATGCCACCAGAAATAGAGAGGTTCCTCCATGTGTCCCTTTTGGGGACTGCACTGGGGCCAAGAGTGAGGAGGAAGAAGAAGGGAAGCCAGCTAACAAAGTCAATGTGATTCCAGCCCTGACAGCTCCTCCCATCTCATCTGATGCTCAGTGCCTTCTTTGCTGCCAGCACTCAGCCCTTTTGTCCTTTGGACAAATTCTCTGCAGAGGTAATCCAGGTTAATGCTGCCAGAATGGCTTTGGGATTAGGCACAACTGAACCTAAGAGCAGGATGGCCCATGCTGAATATCCTAGGGACCTGGGCTACTTGGTTTTACAGACCGGGAAAACCCTCAAGCTCCTGCTTAAGTTCCTGTTTGCTATCATCCCCAACCTGAGATTTAGGAGGCATTTTAGAAATCTGCAAGGTTGGGCAAATACGATTATGTGCCTGTCTGATTTATGGGAGCAACTCAGCTGGAGCATGTTCTGCTCTCACTGCCACTAGTGAAGATCTGAGACCAGCTCTACTGAAACCAGTGAGTCTGCCTGATCTCCAGCCACATTCTGGGTTTTGTTTACCAAATGCTAATGCACAAGCAATTCTGCCAACTTGGTGGACTCATCCTGGTTTACACTGAGTAACAAGGGAGGGTTTGGTCCCAGCTCTATGAAATAAGATGTCAGAAAGCATATATCTCTACCACCTAATCATGGCATTGTGTTCATTTTCCAACTAGTAATGCCAGTGGCATTTTCATGCTCCACAGACAGTAAGAGCTCTGTCTGTAGCATTTTCACAAGGCATGTTTTTGATATATTTTAGTGCACAGCTTTGACTTCTTCAATGAAATGTACTTTGGAATATATTTATAGCGCATCAAACAATTCATATATTTGAATTGGAGCCATATGAATGTTGGTAGTTTAAAACACCGATATCCCTATAAACTACTAACAGCTTGTAAAATGAATCTATATAGATCTATAAATGTTAATGTAGCTATCAGTTTCAATCAGCCATATATTATATTTTTTCACTTGTACCAAAATTGTATGAAATGTGACATTACCCTATATGCACTAGCAATAAAATGGCTAATTGTTTCATGTTATGAAAACCCAATTGTACATGGGAATTTATTTTTCTGTAATAAAATCAATACGTTTTGTAGAAAGGGCTCTTGTAATTGCTTAAGTAGAATTCAAACTGTGAAGACAATCTATACCAGTACTTCAATATGAGAATATCTTCAGTGTTATAATCTGCAGCTAAGGGCAAGGAAAAGTTCTTAAAAGAGTAGTCAAATACAGTTAAATATGAAACCAGAAATGGTTTTTACTAGGGAATTATTTTGCTCACTAATTCTGCTTAGCATTTATTATTGCTTTACATTCATCACATCTCCATGTAATATATACATGAGACATCAGTAAAACACATTCAGGCTGTCAGGAATCCAAATTCCTTAACTGGCTTTAAAAATCATTGTGCAGCTGCTGTGGCCAACATCATTCAACATTCATCCATTTTATAGACATGGGGCAAATTAGTCCTTTCTTGAAATATCTAACGAATCCTTGATCACTTCTGCACAATCCCAGTCATCATTTAGAGTACATTGACTCCCTTTCCCTCCTTCCTTTGTACAAGGATATGCAAAATCAGGCCTTTACAGAGTTAACAAAGCCCATCTTTCCCACCATCATGTTAATACAGTCTCACTTCAGAACTTCCCTCACTTGAAGATGCCTTGAAGCCGGAGTCCATTAAGCTCAGTGGCTACTGTAGACACACGAGAGAGATTTGATGGATCTGGAGAAGATAACAAAGTCACTTGGGAAAAATCTTTCCATTAAGCCAACTGGGAGAAAGGAAAAGAAACTGAATATGTAGGGGCTGTGCTTACCCTGTGTTGGCAGCCAAGCCCTGCCGCTGCCTTCCAAACCCTGGTGTGGCAGCTCCTCCTAATTTCTAAGCTAATTTGTAAGTACTGGTTGAAACACAAGATGTCAGAACAGCAACCTCCCAGTACTCCACCAAGTGTGGGCTGGGTGAAGGCCCCACATGAAGGGGACAATGTGGGTGATTACCTTTACAGCCTTGTTTTAAGGCACCAAATGCCCACAAACCCCCTCAGAGTAGCCACTGCTTCTTGCTGATGTCAGCAGGAATACTGTGTGGGAAGCCAGAAGTCCAGCTCCCTCTGCTTCCACGGTATCTCAGGGGGAGTGTTTTGGATGGTGAGGCTCCTGCCTGAGAAGCTCTGGAAGGCATCTGGGGAGGCTTTGACATTTGGGTAAAATTTGGGTTGTTCTGGCCTTAGAGTTTGCAAATGTTCTTCCACCAGGACACTTCTACTTGTCTGGAATTTCTCTCAGACAAGGGTTATATGAAAGGGGATGTTACATTTTCACCCTGCCAGCAAGGTATGAAGGGACCATAGGGTAAATGTGAATGAGGCCTTTGTATATGGATAATTTATGGCAGTCTTTTTGTATTTTTCTTTTAATTTAGACCACGTCATCGCACTCATAAAAAAAAGCAACAGAAGAAACGGGGCCCACTCTGCCCTTCCCGTGCAACACCACTAAAGTCTCCAGGGAGAAAGAATGGTAGGAGGCATTAGTTTCTGAGCTGGGACACCTCAGGTTGAAGTCCCTGCTCTTCCACTGACCATTTTATGGGACCTTGGGCAAATATATTAGCCTATCCAGACCTCCATTTCCCCCCGTATTTGTTGAGGATAACATCTCTCCCCTTCCAGAAAAGGAGGATTATACAGATAAAACTCTCAAAGCAGGGGGAAAGCTTAGCTACAACAGATGTGGGATGATTTTCATTTCACAAATGGGAAAACGGACACACAAAGAGACCAATATAAACCTGAAGCAAAGTCAAAAACAGGGTAAAGGTTTGGGAGCCCTATTTGTTTTAGCTCCAATATCAAACTGACAGAGTTAAACACTAACAGCTGTGAATTTGCCACTGGTGTTTTTTAATGAGAAATGCAGCACCATGTGGTGACAACGTGATGTGGTGCATGGGTGATTGGTCGATGCCTTTCCTGTGGGAGATGCTAGGCAAGTCCTAGAGAATGGTATTATATCCAGAGCCAATTCTCTGGATGTCCCAGGTTTTTTCTCACAGGGGTGGTTTGTCCTGACTTTCTGCAGCAAAAGAAATAGGGCTACTGCTGTGGGATATTGGAAAAGATATCTTCAGAGGAAAAATTTTCCTCATGGTTTAGTCATTGTCTTTGTGCCTGGATGAGTTTTCTGAGACTGCCTTTACAGGGAGTCACAGTCTCTAGCTGTGGTCACAGAGCCTTAGTTGTCCAGCAGGCATTGGAAGGGGTGTTTGACAAGAGGTGCTGAGATCTCAGTTTTGGAATACCCAGTGCTTACCCTGTGATGCTTGTAACTCAGGCTTAGTGACCTCATCTAGGCTGCAGAAGGCTGATCGGCCTGGAGCAGGAATAGGGGTCACTTCAGACAGAACCTGGAGGCCAGCAGCACAGGCTGGCTCCTTGTTCTGAGTAACCCATGCACACAAGACACTTGCACTTTGCTGTGATGCCTAACCCACACTCTCCTGGGTACCATGCTCAGTGTGAGCATGGGAGACTCCATCTGTCTGCACCCACCTGGGCTGCCCACCTCCGCCCTTCAGGCCTCACACATTTACTGTGCAGTGCCTGCCTGCCCTGCCTGTCACCTCGCCTTCCCTGGGCAGCTGGTCACCACAGGCTCTGGTGTGGTCCCCAGCTGCTCTCACCAGGTGAGCTCCCAGGGCAGGGAGGCTCAGGGGTGGCTCCTGGCTGGCAGAACTTTGGCTGTCTCTACTCTCCAGCCACCCTGCGGTGGGAGCCAAATGAGCAGAGCATGGGCTGCCCTCAACATTCCTCCATCCTCACGGAGACCTGGCACTCTCTGGAGCTGCAGCCCATGATCTCCATCAGAGTTGTGGGATAGGAGCAGATAGAGGAGGCATTCCCAGTGCCACTTGCTCTGCCAGTGGGGCTGCTCACAAATGATTAATCTCTCCTTTCCCTGCTGTATTTTTTGCCGAGTTTCTTTGCCCACCGATAATTCTCTGCTCTGGCTCACAAGTCCAGAATAAGCTTTCTAGCCAGCCTTCCTCCTGTATTAGTTCTGAACACCTTACTAACTGTGATGAGCACAACCTGCCCAAAATAACACCCATTGCTGGGTTTGCCCTGCTGGGTCCCAGTAGCTCCTTGTGGAGAACTTATCCCAAAATGTTCAGCAATTACTGGTTGGAGGGGCTGCCTTTGGGTTAGTCCAGACACAGATTTTCTGTTTGACTAGGCCTGATAACAGAGCTTTTGCAACTGAAATAAACCTTAATAGTGTTTCACTTTCTTCTTCATCAACAGGAGGTTCAAGATGTAAGAGGCAAGCATTGTAAGCCGTCTGCAGGATTTCTTACTGTAGGACCCAGAGAGCAGATAACCAGTATTAGGGAACGAATACATTTCACTGCTAACATGCAGCACAAAAGCAACGCTTCACGCATTTCCAAAGGTTTTTTTCTTGGTTATTTTTGGTGGGGTCTTTTGTTTGTTTGTTTTTTCCCCCTTGCACAAATTGGCTTGCTTTCACAGTGCTATTTTTATATAGTAAGATGTAACTATTTGAGAAAAGTATAAATTTATACAGGTTGGTTTATTACCTAGCACTGGGGGCAGATACCAATTTCAACTAACCCTGTTATTATATAATATTTTATTTTCTTTGTTGTGTAGAGGTCCTGCTTTATTTAACTTTCTTTTGGTTCATGCAAGTCTCCTGGAGTTTTAAACCTAGAAGGACATGAACTGTACAGTGCAATGATGTTGTGTAAGTAGTGGTGGAACTCCTTGCCTCCAGAAGTCATAGAGGCCAAGAACATAGGAAGGCTCAAAAGCATCAGACTGATGACAGCAGACATTATCCTGAGTGACATTTAAAGATATTTTGGGTGAGTGATTAAACTCAGGGCTACAGGGCTAAAGCCCTTCTCTGAAGATCAGAAACCTTGCTGACAGCTGTGAGCAGCTAGATCAATGCACATCTGCTATTGCAAGGTGCTAATACTTGGTTTGTAGTAGTTGTCTGTGTTAGGAGCCACAATACAGTTCTGAGGTCACCTGGCATTTCCTATGTTCCTGTGTTTCTGATGACAAATTAAGCAAAAAGAAGGAATGGGTTATTAAATCTCTAACCACACAATCATGTTGCAAGTTGCCGGAGGAGCCCGATACGCTGCCATGAAGGGATCCCACCCATCCACAGCAGGTGACTTCAACTTGCCTGGCTGGCTTTGTACTGAAGTGAAAAGGCTGAGATTCATTCACCCTTCACCAAAGCTGGGCTACTGAACAGTCACACCTGCCTGAGGGCAGTCACATCCCTGATTGCTCTGGAGATACCCAGAAGAGGATATCTGACCACATCTTGGGGAAAAGAGATGCTTGGGGCAAGAGAGGGTCTGTGCAGTTTGTGGAAGGAGAGAGGTGGAAATGAAGGCCAACACTCACAGTTCACCAGCCCTCATGGGCTTGCTGGTGAGCAGGACAGCCTCTGGAATTCCCTTTGCAAAGCACAACCTGGGACAGGTACCACTCCTTGCACCGATCCCCTCTCTAAGCCAGAAGTTTCTTTCTCCTTATTCCTTCTATCCCACATATTGTGTATACACAATATCTGCTATATGGTATGGAAAGACATCTGCAGCACTGCAGTGATCATGTCATGCTGTGCACTGAGATCTGGGGGGAAGCACATTTGTGCAGCACAATGCTTGTGTTTGTATGTATCTGTGTTTGTATTGTAAACAAAAAAATGTTGTAAGGTTGTCTTTTTTGAGCTGGTTAATTCAAAAGAAATCTTCCCTCTTCCCTGCAGCCTGTCAGGAACACTGAGAGGGGTATTTCACTCTCCTTTTTGTGGTAGGCATTTTTAGTGCCAAAGAAGCACTTTGGCTATCCAGGGACCACATTATTTCCATGTGGATTCAGGTAAAAATCTTGTATTTTCCTTTCTGCAAAACAGGCCTATTGCAGAGAGGCCTTCTGCTGGGAACACCTCACCTCATTTGCTTTAAAGCAGAAACAAACTGCTGTGCCTAAAATATTTGTGTTTGTGATTTTGACATTCCTTCTCTTGTTATCATTACCAGCCTGGTGCTTTAAGTATATTGTGTCTCTGTTTTGAAAGGTCTGGTACCACTGTACTTGATGAGAATTGGAGTTTTGATTTAATATTAGTAGGAAAATATCCTCTCCTGGAAGGGGACAGAAAGAAAGAAATTTTATGAGAAAACCAGTTTCTTCTATGTTTCCTGGACTGTATTTGATATCCTAGGTTCCATTCCCTGTCCCACACATGTACCTGTATTTGCCAGAGGTGGACATGTGAGTGTCCAAGCCAAGAATGACTGCAGAAAAAGTCACCCAGGAAAGTGCATTCTTCACACATAGCTCCTATCAAAGGACTGAGGTCTGATTGATTCCCCTTGCAGTAAATGGAGAATTACACAATCCTCTGATTTTGGTTCAGCAGCGTGCTTTGCTCGTGATGACAGGTGCTGTGAGAGTTTTGCTTCCAGAGGAAAACAGGCGGTGAGAAGCTGGGGTGGGTAGATGTGGCTGCACAGCCTTCCAGTGCTCTGCTGCAGTCCTCATCATCAGGGAGTGCATCTGGGGTGAGCAGCAGCAGGGACAGGTCCCTGGGAACATGCCAACCCCACATTACAGCCTGGGCAGACACTGCTTTGACAGGAGCACTGGGATGCTGAAGCACCCGGCCGAACCCAGGGACGCGGCTCTGGGCAGGATAGCCAGGTAGAGGAGGCACTGCAGGAAAGGGGATCTCCTGTCGGCCTTTCCTCCAGGGGCTGCAGGGGCAGGCTGTGCTAAAGCAGGGGCATTTGTTCCTGGGAGAAATGCATGAGTAGCAGCAGGAGGAAAATGCACTCCATCTAAGGTAGGGGACCATTTACAGCCAGGTGTTTGTCTGGGTGCTTTGGGAGCTGTAACAGCCCCCACAGAGACTGGGCACTGACACCTCTGTGCAGGCGATGCTTCACTGCCCGTGTGCCTGAGACCACTCAGGGCATGGGGCTGCTCTCAGGGGCCAGCACCGTGACCCTCACCTGGGTGAGGCTGAGCACAGCGTGAGTGCAGAGGTGACACAGACTTGGCCAGAGACTTAAGTGAGACCTTTTAAAAGCTTTCTCTTGCTTTGGACCAAAATTCAGCCTTGAGTGGGAAGCTTTGCTGTTAGCCTGACATTATTTGCGAGATGTTCTGGGGCGAGCAGCCATGCCCTTTGCACCAGAGGGATCGATCACTGGGCTGCCCCAGTGCACCACATGTTTGTCCCGTTGATGCCAGGACCAGAGCAGGCTGAGAAGCAGCACTGGCAGCCCCTCACTTGGGGAGAGCACTTGGTTTTCTGCCTTTAACTGTTGACCAAAGACAGAGTCAGGGAAAGGAAGCGTGAGGAGATGGGAGTGAGGTAGGGACCACATGTGAAGAGGAGGGAAAAAGAGATAACACTGAACCATGCTGAAAAAGCAGCTTCCATGAATGTGAAATCATCATGTGGGTATTTTCAAAGTGCAGCTGTCAAATCCCAATATTAAGAGTAGATGATATTTATTGCTGTGTCAATTTTTTATTTATACTAGCTTTATACTTTTATGTATAAATATCTTATCTGAATTCTGCCTGAGGAAGAATGAAATGAAGGGTGACTTTGATGTGTTTTTGATTAAGGTGTTTGAGCAAAGGTGACTGTTTATTTTGCAATGAAAGCTTTTTTCAAACTTAAATATACACATTTTGTTGAAAATGCAGTTCCTATAGAAGTTTTTGTTGCCATTTTCCCTTTATTAGGCTCTAGAAGGTCCTTTTCTCTGGCAACTTGTTCTGAGTGATGTGATTTATCACATCACATGTGATTTATCACAGTCAAGGTTTTTTGTGAACCCATCATGTAAAATTTGAATATTTCTTCTTTATCAACATCCCACCAAGATAATCCTTGATTGAAAACATGAAACTTTGATTGCCACCGAGAAGAAAAATGTATCATGATAAAAGGGCTGCATGAACCTCCCATCTTCCATTCCTTAAGAACTCTGTGTTGTCAGAATGTGGTAAATACTGTACTTTATATTTTTATTAAGTAAAAAGAAGTATCTTCCCAAATAATGTGAAAAGGGTTTTGCATTTGTGTTCCTGTAAGGCAGCTTTTATGGAGGAGTTATATTATGCTTTTGAAGTTACTCCTTTCATAGAAAATTTTTGAAAATAAACACTTTTATATTGTTGTAATTTCTCACATAAATGTGTATGCACTTAAAATTTTCTTAATAAAAATGTATGTCTGAATAAAGCTTTTGCTTGATTCTTTTTTTCTTTTTCTCTTCACAAATGAACAGCTACAGTCCCCATTCAGGAAAATACATTCAGATGTAGTCTGTGCATTTGACAAAAGAGCAGACAAAAGAGCAACACTGTCCCTGGGGCTGCTTTTCCCAGGGCCACAGCAGGGTCATTATTCAGTTTGGAGGTGAAAAAAAAAATTAGAGGCTTGTAGAACTGACCTGAGAACATGTAGGTATAATCCTGACTTGAATGATGTTGTAGGGAAGGTGCTGTGGGTTTCAAAACCACAAATTGAAAACTGGTCTTTGGTCAGTGCATCTCCCCATCTACCAAGTTCTCAAGGCAAGGGGAAACTGTTTCTGAGGTCAGCCCAGCCCTCCACAGCACCCTGAACATGCCAGTCCTCCTGTGTATCCCCACTGCAACACAGGTGGGTCCCAGCACCACGAACAGCTCTGCCTGGAGCAAAGGTCAGGGCTAGGTTAATGTAACGGTGAAACACTGCTTGAGCTTCTTCCAGCTTCTTGCTTAACAAATATTTCTTGGTCAAATTGATGCAAGGCAAAAGGCATGCAAAAAAGGGAAAAAGAAAACTCAGATGACTGGTGACCCCTTTACAAATCCATCCATTACTTACTAAGAGGTTTATGAAAAGTTAGGAGGTAATTATGAGTGCAGATTGTCAGTGAGAGATTCCCAGGCCGCTGTGAAATGCCTTGGAAGTAATTAGCTACAAAATTACACATTAATATTAAGCATAGGTCTCATGTTCTGTGGAGCACTTTGCTGTGCCTTTCATCAGGTCTGTTCTCTGGAATGTGAAAGTTTTGGTTCTCACTTCCTCAGCAAGGCATCACGGCAATGTGTCTGCGACCCGCCTAGGAATTGGAGGTGAGCCCACCTTATTAGCACATCTGGCTCTCTTCACAGGCAGCCTCCCAATACCAGCAAGCTGAAGGAAATCAGCTGCATTCATGGCCCCAGCCATCCTGACACTGATTGTGGGCTGGATTGATTAGGTCCTGGCATGGTCTGGGTCAGAGTACAGCATAGTTAATGCCTCTGCTTCCTAGGACCACTGAGGATGTTTCCTTGGATGCTACATGATAAGGGTCACCCCAAGCTCCTAGTGAGCATTTGGCTGTTTTGTAAAGCTACTTGCTCACAAGTTGTGTTGTAAAGCTACATGCTCACAAGTTGTCCCAAGAGCCTTTCAGATAAAACAAATATGTAGCATTGAGACTAACAACGGCAAAATGAAAAAAACAAAAACAAAACGCCCAAGATCTAGGAGCTGAAGCCAGAGAAATTCAAACTGAAAACAGATTTTTCAGTGTGGAATTGATTAGCCTTTGGAGTGCATTCCCCAAGAGAGGGGGAAGAAAAGCCCTGAGCCTTCCTATGCCTTCCTAGCAGGGCTGAAGGGCATTGTGTGTTAGCCATACATACCTTGCTGGGCTCTCAGGGGACACAGGGTGAAGGTCTCTTGCCTCTTCTGTTACCAGTGGGTCAGACATGATGAGTTGAAGATCTCTCTGGCCTCAGAAATTGCATGCAGAAAGCCCCAGTTCCAGGGGAGCATTCCTCAGCCTGTGTTATTAATAACACCTGCATATCATCATCATCCCAGCTCCTTGGACTGAGGCTGAAGATAACTCCAGCTGTTACACAGGAGACTGATTTGGGGTAAGGGGCTTCTATTTCTGGTCATGAATGTTGCCCTCCAGCTGCAGGGGCAGAGGTGTGGCAGAGAGAATAGTCTGCAGCCCTGTCCTGTGTCCATGCACCCCCAGCTTTGGGAGGAAAGGTTTGCTCACATAGCTGCCCTCTGGATCACACTGCTCACACAGGTGATCTTTCTTGTAGGAATTCCCTGAGCTTCTGTCTTTGTCCTTTTTGCCTCTTACCCTTATTTGTCCTTTGTTCTCCCCTCTGGCTCTTTTGGGGACCTTCTCTTTCCTCTCAAACCCAGTTTTCCCAGCCTAAGGGGAAAACCTTGGTGATTTAACGCCATTCTCAGCACCATTCTCAGCACTCATTCCTGCTTTCTCATCACTGTTGGTGCTCCCTGGCTAGGGCCAGCCATTTCTAGTCTCTGAAAGAAGGGGAAGGACGTTTCCATTCTGTCCTTTGCAGTCACTGTCACAGAGCAGGATCCAAGGTCCTTTTGGAGAGGAGCTGCATGACTGCTGCTGCAGAGCTGTTTGTCTTTCATGCTCTTGGGCTCATTCCCAGCTGTGCAGTCCAATCTGTCTTCCTGCCTGCACCAGCAACTCCCTTTGGCTCATCAGCACATCCTCAGCTCACAAGGCTCCCAGCTCCTCCTTCTACAGCCAGCCATTCCTCACAGCAGCTGCCAAGGAAAAATGGTGACCTGTGTCAGCTGCCTTCCCAGTGCCAGCACACAGAGAGCCAGAGCCGGACACGCCAGCTTAGTGAGCTGGCAGGACCAACGTGCTGCTCTCGGCTTTCAGCAGACCCTAGTCAGACCACCGTGGCTGGAACAGAAGGTGAAGTCTAGCCCAGACTGCTGAGAGGTGGAAGAGCACAACCTAAGAACAGAAGGACAGAGGTTTAAAATGCTGCTGTAGCTCACTGAAATCTCCAAGATGTGTGTGATTCTTCCACCCCAAAATCCGCAATCAATTCCAGCTGCCTAGCGTGCTGCTTGATTTATTGCCGTGCCTGCAAGATTCTGGCTGTGGTGAAACATGTTTGTACGTTGCCTATAAAACAGCAAATCTGAAGAAAGGGCTCTCTGGATGTGGTTCAGAGTGTGTAACAAAACCCAGATCGCCACGTCCTTCCACGCAGTACCACAGCCACGCAACACAGCCAATACATGTTTAATACCTAGCACACTCTATCTATTTTGCCTCTGAGCACCAGAGAGAGAGACTCAAAGCACTGCAGACTACACTATTCCTACACAAAGGGTAGACTACTTTAAGAAGCAAATGCCAAGCCCCATTACATAGCCTAGTGCATCTTTTCTAAATTAAAGCCTTTCCACAAGGCAGAACACTAGAAAAACAATTCTGCACAAAATATGTGGAAAAGGAGAAAAAAGAGAGGAAATACGTCTTTCTTTCAAAATATAAATACTATGAATGCAAATAGGAATCCAACTGTCTATGCCAGATCTACAGCCACAAAAGCAGCTGGATGACTATCATTCATGCTAAGTGTCCATATTCAAAATTAAGGTCCTCATAGTAACTTCCAGTCCTTTCTGCAGCCTGGTTGTTCCAATGATTCTCCTACTGGCATTATTGCCTGGTAAGCAGTCTACCCCAACCCAGTTACTGTTATGCAGGAGTTGCACATACACAGAAGGATAAAGACAGTCCCTACCTGATAGATTTCATGGTCGAAGATCTGCTCTGCCAGGCTCCTAATAAAGCGTGCATGTTGCAAGGAGTGCAAGGCTCTATCTCCTCATTGGGTGCTGGAGAAGCATCACACCAGACGTGGGATGGCTTGTCAAGCAAGTAAAGAACTACAGATCATCTAATTTCACATTCCCCTCTTTCAACATATGCAAGATTTGGTTAACAGAAGGTTTTTCAGTTCCTTGGAGGGGTGGAGTATAATACTGAAAAGATAATGGGGAAGTGATGAGGAGAGACAAAGCTTCCCAGTCATTAGTTAACTGGAGATCAAGCCTGGAGAGGGATGCTGTGCAGGCAGATGAGTAGGTCTGAGCTGTGCAGCTCACTCCACACAGTCCCCATGTGCCTCGTTCCCATGTGTGTCATAGCACCACTCACCCTGTGTATCACTGCTTTGGGCACCCAGCCATCCTGGCTCCTCCCCTCCTCTCCCTTCTCTTGCCCTCCCTCCTTTCTCTTTTCTAACTACTTTAAGATTTCTCTTTCCTGCTGCCATGTTATTTGTTGCTGACTTTGGACATTCTTTATGGCCTTTCATCAGGCTTCCCATCGCTCGCATACTCTGCATTGGTTTGGCCTGCTCTGCCTTTTGTCTGTGCAAAAACAAAAGCTTTATCTGTTGCCCAGAGACCATGGTGACTTCAGGGCTTTTCCAGTGCCAGCACCTAATTGCAAACAAATGGAAGTCCCCGGCTACATCGCCAGCAGTGCTGGGTCTTGGGTGGGAGGGCCTGATTCTGCTCACTCTGCACTCTGGGACTGGTGAAAGGCTTGTGATTTACAGCAGTGTATCTCACATTGCCATCTGGCCTTCAGCAATCTAGCTGGCTTGGAAGAGAAGGCATAAAAGCCACACAATGCTCGTGACATGAATATCTCTCATGTCTGGTTTTCCTTAATGTCAATGTATAAAGGGGAGTTGGCTGCAACGAACAACCTGTATACCCCTCAGAAAATCCTCACAGAGCACAGAAGTAAATGGCACAGCATTTCTACTCCATTTCTGCCTCTCTTTGAAACCCTCAGCAGGATCATCCCTCCATGGTGCTGACTGCCAGAGAGAGGCACGGAGCAGGCACTGGGCTGGAAACGTGTGGCTCCCATGCTGTGCACAGACGTGTGCTGCCAGTGCCCAGAGCTGCTTCAAAACTACATTCTCATCCAGAAGAAAGAGGGAGAGATTCCCAATACTCTCACACTTGTTAGTATTCCAAAACAGGACAGAAAAAGTCTGAGTATCATGTTTACTAGTGGAATGGACAGTTTGGAAAGGATTCTCTCAGGAAATGACAAAGTAATTTGTTCTGCTCAAATCGACAGAGACTTGGCTTTGCCTCTGTGTCACAGTGACTGATAGGAGTTGGAGTTCCAGCAATCCACCCAACCCTGGCTTCCCCAGGCTTGCCTGCATCTCCTGTACTCTGCTTTCATGGCCCATCTAAGACTTATTGGAACATCTCAGCCAAAGGTGTTTCAAGGAGTTTATAATTTCTCCACAGCATCAAGTTCACAAAAGATACTGAGAGCATGAAGTAGAGTCTGGGAGTAGGTCAATTTAACCTCACATCTTTCTATTATGGTTTGACACCCAACAGACAGTATACAAA